TATATAAAGATAATTTTTTTTCTCTCTTAAATTTTCCTCTATTAAACTCAAAATAAAAATTTAAAATCTCTAATTTAAAATCTTAAAATTTTAACCATTAAGTCATTTCTTTGATGGTTTTTGATTTTTTTTCTTTTGTAATTACCAATTATTGTAATTGCTAATTGTTTTTGACTTTAGACTTTTAATTATTGATTTTTTGACTTTTAATATTCTTAATGATAATTGCTAATATTTGATTATGTTTTTTTATTTCTAATTTATTTGGGGAAGACACTATCAGTGGTACGGCTGCTATGTGGAAAAGGGAGGATGTAGGGGGCAGGTGAAAAGGCTAAAGGCTGGCTTCTTGACGGGCTGAGCCAGGTAGGGAGGTTGCAAGGGAGCGGCTATGTGGGGGAGGAAGCTTGGTCTCGTACGGGAATGCCACCAGTTAAGGGCGGGGTAGCACGCTGAAGAAAAGGGTTTGGTAGAGGCGCAACGAGTGGAGGACACGGGCATTTGCGGCATGGGATGAGGAGGTTGGCGAAAGAAGAGCGACGGGGATAAGCTGCCCCCTAAGATGCAGAGAGCAATGGTACATTGTTGCTCTTGTTTGAATTTTCAGAAGGGTAGCTGTTCAATCTCCATGCAAAAATTAGACTAGGAAAATGGAAGATCTATGAGTCAGAGTGGCATTTTGAATTTTCATATGGTACATTGTTGCTCTTGTTTCTTTTTTCTTCATAATTTGCATGTTTTTCTTTACACTGATTCCATCTTGATGCCATACAATTACAATGTTTCTTCAATCCTTCATATCTACAATTGGCTCATCAAAGGTGTTTTCAAGATATGGATTTATAGTTACTTATTTAAAGTGTTATGCTCCCTCGCTTTTTGCACTCATCTAATGTTTTTCTACTTAAATCAGAGAGACTTTAGACATACTAAATTATCACTCAACATCAATTTCTTTTTTCCTTTTTGTGTCAAAATGGGATGGTTGCTGTGACTAAGCCAAGATAGAGATTCAAGTCAGGAGACTTAAGCATCTTTAGGCTTACATTAGGACTTAATTGAAAGACACATGTTGTCATTTTGTTAAGTTGCCACCACATAATGGATTGAGCATTAAAAAATTGTTGATAACGTTTTGTGTTGTTGAATTAAATGGCTTGAATGCAGCTGTTAAAAGTAAAATCACTATTGTTTTGATGTTATCCGATCCTTTTTATTACCCCATCATACTGGTGAGGACTAACTAACATGCACCAACAATACGTTGCCAAATTTTTGGATGAACCAGGTAGGAAAGGATTGGTTGTCTTAATGTTGGGACAAGGGAGATATTGCTTGTGCTGTTACTGAATTAATTTATTATTGCTTTCAAGCTTACAATTGCTGAAATTAGTTTTGTTTAAACTTTTGCTTTGATTGCGTAGGTTTTGTGAGTTTGACTTGTTTTAAGATTCATGTTTGTGTAAATTAATTAAGGTTTTTTAACATATGATTTAAAAATTATAAGTTAAGGTGTAATAAATATATTTTTTATTATAAATTTATATTAAAAATAAAATAAAATTTTAATTTATTAATTATTTAATTAAATTTATTTATTTAACATTAATATCAAAATTAATAGTAATTTTTATTTTTTATATTTATATATATAGAAAAAGCACGCTAAAACATAAATGAAT